TAAATTTTGAATTTAGATTCAGGGTCTAGAATTGAACTTTTGCATTTTCTGACTTCAGACGTGGCTACCCAGCTCCAGTAATGGACTCAGTCCTGACTCGGACTTGCCTCCCTGATGGACTTGACTCAGACTCAAGCACAACACTGCCATTCTCCATTCTCAGAGCTGACATTCCAGGTGACAGCCAAACATTTGAAGGAAGCAAAATTCAATCCATACTAATATTAAACAATTTACCCGCTTCCACTACTTTCCTGGTTGGGAATCCTCGAGTAATTCAGTGGGAAGCTGAGAAATCACATTACAAGAGCCACCTCTACCTGTTAGAGATGCTCATGCCAAATGTTGTACAAATGAGAAATGCCTTCAAGGAAATGTTGTGAAATGTCAGGATGAACCACTTCTTGCCAATGCACGTCTAATTCCAGGACATTGGCCTTTCTGCAAAGATAAAAATGTACAATTCTTGGCACCCACTAATGTGTGAAGCTTCCACTCACACTGCAGCTGATGTCAAAGGTTCCTATCCATAATGCATCTCATCATCACCTTAAATGTTTTCAAGGTACCTAGTTTTTTATTTTCCAGCTGTCACTATTTACAGTTTTTCCTCAGGCACTTAACTACACTGACTATGCCATTAGTCCAACTTGTCATTTCCAAATAAATATAAGCAAATCAGCAAACTTTTTTGCACAACAGAAACCACGTTATCATTGCTCGCACATCACTTTTCATTGCTAAAGGATTTTTGCAAAACACTAGTCACAGTGGTCATTTGGTAACACCAAAATCACATCAGAGTGTCTGATTAAGCAATTAACTCAAAAATAGCGGCAGCTGCTAAATCCCAAACCCAAAGCACTAACGAAATTGGGACTAACTTGCAATTGGTTGCACTACTTGCTGCAAATCTAACTCTCAATCACTCGTAAATTGCTAATAGGGTAAAAATGTAGTAAGAATGAGGTGTAATTTTTAACACACAATGGAACAAGGCCAGAGAGGACGTGGACGTAGGTGTGGAGGAGGAAATGGTGGGCAACGTCAGAGACAACCAAGAATAGTGGTCAGCCATGAAATTAGAGCCACCCTTATTGTCCATGTCATTACAGTTTTTCCTCAGTCGCTTTCATACAATTTCCTCATCAGAAACACCATTCTCATCACTCTTAATGCAGTTCTCAAAATAGTTCATGCATTTCTCCTAACACTAAATCACCTGTGCAGAAGCTACTAAAACAATCAAAACCTTGTGCACAAGTGTCAGAGCATACAACATCAGTCAATCACTTCATCACTGTGACAAATGAGTAAAACACCAGTGCATCAAGACTTAGTCAGCAAATGTTTTACTTTTTTAATTAAATCCTTACTAAAATCTAATGTAGAGAAAAAAACAATATAATGTAATGTGAAACGTGTAAATTTACAGATAATTACTATAACTGAGAAAGCATAGAACCAAGTAACAGAAAATATACACAAAAATATGGAATTGAATATTATACACAGAGCCAGTCTAGGACATTGGAATTGGCCATTGCCAAAACTCAACCGCTCCAAATTGACGTCCATTTACTTAGGCCACCAAAGAACACCTCCTTCTACATGACTATTCATGACTATTCTTGGAAATACAGCCCTAGAGGGAAGCAGTAACACGCCCTCATTAATTCATCCTTTTTGGCATCAACTGAAGGGTGTGCTTAAATATCAACATAAAAATGACACCAAAAAAAACGTGTACATACTCAACTGTTCCAGAATAATTAAGGCGATTAAGTGCATTCACACATTTTTTGTGTTCTCTTTTTTCACATCACAAAAACCTGGCATTTTAACAGGGGTGTGTACATGTTTCATTCGCACCGAACACTCCTACATGAGTTTTTACAACTGCAATTATTTGGCTGTTGAGCAACTACAGTAGATATTAAAAGTGTGCACACCGCTGTTAAATCATTTCTAAATTTTCCCACCTTTAATATGACATATAAGCTGTACAATTCAATTAAAAAACAAATAACTCTGTTTGCGGGACAAAAAATAAAAAAATATACAAGAAGCCAGTTGCATAAGTGTGCACACCCTTAAACTAATACTTTGTTGATGCACCTTTTGATTTAATTACAGAACATAAGAAATTTACAAATGAGAGGAGGCCATTCTACCCATCAAGCTCGTTTGGGGAGAATGCAACTAATATCTCAGAGTTGTTAAAATCTTATCTAGCTGTGATTTAAACGAATCCAAGGTTTTAGCTTGCACTACACTAACAGGAAGACTATTCCATACTCTAACTACACACTGTGTAAAGAAGTGCTTTCTCAAATCCAGTGTAAAATGTTCTCCCGCCATTTTCCACCTATGGCCATGAGATCTTGTTTTTGAACTAATATTGAAGTAACTATTTGGCTGAACAACATTCAGACCTGTTATCGTATATACCTGGATGTCCCCGCTTAGTATCTTTGCTCGAGGCTGAACAGATTAAACTCAGTTAACCTCTCCTCATAAGACATTGCTTCCATTGCACCCGTTCTAAGGCAGCAATGTCCTTTTTAAGATTAAGTGACCAGTCTTATAGATTAATTGTCTAGTCGGGGTGTTACCAAGGAATTGTATAATCGTAGCATCACCTCATTTGACTCCACACACTTAGAGATGTAACCCAACATCTTATTGACCTTTTTAATTGCTTCCCCACATTTACTCCAGGACTGGAGTTGAACACCCCTGTTTTAGTATATTACTGTTTCATATTCAAACTACACAACATTGTTTTTTTATTGATGTATAGATCAATTCAATAGCATAGAGAACACACTGATAAACAATAAACAATAACCATGAAATGGAGATATTTGCCCAATATATAAAAATGACCGAAAGGGGACTTACAGAAGCTCTTCAGTGGATTCTCGCTATGGCTGCCTGGTGGAACAATAGTTCTACTATTAGCTATCAATTTCAGTTCTACCAATATTGTCAACTCCCTTGATTTCATCAGTAAAAGTATGGTAAATTCCCTACACAACAATTGACCCTCTCAAACCCATTTTCAATGCCAAGTAGCAAAAAACTGTGCAAAGAATTGTGAAAAGATACAGGGGAACAGAGAGAAAATAAATATCACGTCATGTGCAGCATGAATATACCCTTAGTCAAGCATGTGGCTAATTTAAGCATCTAATACAGTTACAAATTCTATTTATTACACCAAACTAAATGCCAGTCAGTCAGTGCAAGCCACACATCACTTAAGTCAAAGTAGCCATCGCAGCAGCTTTAAACTAGCTAATACCGCCTGTGACAAATATCTTCAACCTGTCTATGCAAGCATAGATCTTGATGTGTTAAATAACTTGCTTTTAATTCCCATGGAAGTTTGTTTCCCTTGAGGACCAGCTATGACAGGCAAAGTTAGCGCCCAAGACTAAACCGCTACTGAAAACACACCTATAAAACTGTCACTCTGACCCTCAGTTATTCAACATGAATATGGTGTTACTTGATATTACACAGTTTTTGTGCTAATAAAAGGCAAAGATGTCTTCTTGAAATTGTCACTTGAAAACAGGAGTTTCACCATATTCCAGTAAATTCACAAATTATCAACTGATTAAAAAGTACTGTAACTGCAGCTTGTTGGATGAAGTGTAGTACAGGAAACAACAGATGAATTAGCTTGCATTGTTACAAAGCATGCCAAACACAGAAACTGAGAACATCACCAGGCTTCTCAACAACGGTGTGCATCTTTTATGTGTCCGTAAAATAACATTTAGATGTTTTACATGTTTACCTGCTTGGTAGTTGTGAGTTAGGTAAACATAATTTCCACGTTAAGCCGCCCCCCCACAAAAAATAATGTATTAATTAATTGATTGATTGATTCAGTCATTGATTCAATAAAAAATTTTAAAAGTTAAAAATTAATGGAACCAATCTTCGGGAGAGGGGCTCGATGCTCTTTTCTTCTGGAGTTGCGGCGAGTGAGTGACGCCGGGCTGGGGTGGGGCTATTGGTGGCCCCACAGCTCGATGCATTAACATCGGAGTTTACACCGGTGAACGAGAGGGCTGTCTCCCTGCGCGAGACAGGGAGAGGTCTCTGACTGTCTGACTGTTATGCGCCGAATGACAGTTCAGAGTACCCAGGCTGGTGAGGCCATGGAAAGTGACTTTCGGTCAGCCTCAAAAAGGTTCTGGCAAATCGTTCGATACATCTACGCACACCGCCTTTGAGACATCTGAGGGCACAGGGCCCGAGGGGGCTGGGGTGGACTTGCCCATCGCTGGGGTTGAGGTGGCCAGGGTGGTTAAAGAGCGCCGTGGCGGCCGGGTCCTGGGGGCGGATGAGATCCGCCCGGAGTACCTGAAGGCTCTGGATGTTGTGGGGCTGTCGTGGCTGACACGCCTTCTCAACAGCGCGTGGAGGTCAGGGACAGTGCCGCTGGATTGGCAGACCGGGGTGGTGGTCCCTTATTTAAGAAAGGGGACCGGAGGGTGTGATCAAACTACAGGGGGATCACACTTCTCAGCCTCCCTGGGAAAGTCTATTCCGGGGTACTGGAGAGGAGGGTGAGATCGATAGTCGAATGGATGGATGGATGGAATCAAAAATGAATAATTTTGCAGGCAAATACAATCATTCCTACCAGATACACTTGCAGTTGCTACAAAAAAGTGGGATTTAGGTTTGGCATTAGCCTTCTGAAATACAAATACTGCAGTCAAGTTTTATAAAACCCCACACCTTCAAAAAATGACTAGGTCATATTTTTATCGTGCATGTAAAGATCCAGGATAACCTATTTAATTTATTTTCCAGGACATATCGACAATTTTTCATTTTCCAGGACACGTGGGAACTCAGTTTTAATCTATTAATACAAGTAAAGCAAAGTGAGACATTTTTAATTATACACATTTATGAATCATTGTAACTTCATGGAGCACTAACTACAGCATTCCTATGGACTCTCTAGGACTGACCTGGTAATCTCCCCTCTCTCCAAGGTACACTGTGACACTCCGGATGATGTCATCCCATCTGGTCTCAATACTGTGGCTCTGTGAACAGTAATGCTACTTCGAATCATTATGAATTAGGTGTTGTAATAGAGGAAATGCATTTATTGTTTTTCATGTATGTGTACCTGTGTCAGCGAATCCAGAAAGGGTCGAGTCTTTGTCCCTGCGCACCCTCCTTTGTTCCTCATTTATCTGAATCAGAATCAGAATCAGCTTTATTGTCATTCAAACCACTTGACATGATTAGAACGAAACACAGATTCTCAGGTCTTGGTGCGTGCAGCGTGCTACTACACAATAAATAGATTAAATAAATAGTAAAATGCTGGAGTAAAATATCTGAACTGGAAGTGAAATGAACTAAAGTAAAACCTCTGACGTAAAAATTAAAAAGTAATGTACAGTATGGCAGCAGCAACTTTGAATGATCAGTGCAATTTCAAGGGTAAGTGACAGAGTGACAAGGCAAGTAATTATAGTGCAAAATCAAGGCAAGTAATTATAGTGCAAAATCAAGGCAAGTAATTATAGTGCAAAATCAAGACAAATTATAGTGCAAATTGTACTTGTGTGGTGGAGCAGTTACAAAGTCTGACTGCAACTGGATAGAAGCTGATTCTCAGTCTGGATGTTTTTGCTCGGATGCAGCGTAGCCTCCTTCCCGATGGCAGGGGGGGTGCACAGTGCATGTGCAGGGTGGGTGGGGTCATGAAGGATGCAGGAGGCTTTTCCCCTGCATCTGGTGATGTAAATGCCCCCGATGGGTGGTAAGCTGCACCCGATGGTCCTCTGGGCAGATTTTACCGCCCTCTGTAGCGCCTCCTTCTCTGCCACAGTGCAGCTGCCAAAGCACACAGTGAGGCAGGAGGTCAGGACACTCTCCACCAAAAAGTAAATGTCAAAATGAACATCTATGCAGCACAAATAAAGCCATTAGAACATTATGCATATATTGAGAATGAGACTGACCTGAGTCTCATTAAACAAGACAGGCCATCTCGCTCTGAAGTTTTGAATGGCAGGGCACAGATTAACTACCTCATGTCTTCAAAGATAAAAGGACTTTGCCATTTTGGAAAATGGGACTTGTCACCCCTCTCTGGGAAGGGAAGGGTGATCGCCTGGATTGTGGCAACTACAGGGAGATAACTCTGCTCTCAGTGCCAGGTTAGGCCCTTGCTAGCATCATCCTTAACAGGATCCATGATCACTTGCTGGGACTGAAGGTTCTCATTGAGAGCAAAAGCAAATATCAGCAAAGGTTCTTTGCAGCCTTTGTAAATTTTCATAAAGCATTTTACTCAGTTGATCGAACTGCCCTGTGGGACATCCTGAGACTTCGCAGGATCCGCCTGAAGTTGCTGGATATTATGGCAGGCCTGTACACTGACACGATGAATGCTGTGCAGAGTGGAGGGAGAACCTCTGCTTTCTTTCCAGTTGAGTTTGGGGTTCATCAGGGGCATGTTCTTGCCCCAACTCTGTTCCAGCAGTTGCGAGGCATCCTTTGGTGAAGAAAGATTCACTGATCTTAACCTTGTCGACGATGCTGTGATCTTCAATGGAGTCAATGGAGGCTCTGATTGGTGCTCTCGAGAGACTGAATGAGGAGTGTGTCTGGACTTGCAAGTGTCCTGGATAAAAACCAAGGTTCAGGCCTTTAATGACCTCTTGGGCACAGCCATCAGCACTGTGTCTGTCTGCGGAGGGAATGTTGACCGTGTCTCTGGTGACTCTTCATCTGAAGTCAGTAGATGGACTGGGAGAGCATGGGTGATCATGAGGTTACTGGAAAGGGCTGTATGGCATTCCCAATATTCCCAAGAGCCCTGATGCTCCCTATCTTGCTGTAAAAAAAAAAAAAGGAAAAAAAATATTTTTTTTCCTCATTAATGTACACACAGCACCCCATATTGACAGACAAAAAAAAGAATTTTTGAAATTGTTTCAGATTTATTAAAAAAGAAAAACTGAAAAATCACATGGTCCTAAGTATTCAGACCCTTTGCTCAGTATGTAGTAGAAGCACCCTTTTGAGCTAATACAGCCATGAGTCTTCTTGGGAAAGATGCAACAAGTTTTTCACGCCTGGATTTGGGGATCCTCTGCCATTCCTCCTTGTAGATCCTCTCCAGTTCTGTCAGGTTGGATGGTAAACGTTGGTGGACAGCCATTTTTAGGTCTCTCCAGAGATGCTCAATTGGATTTAAGTCAGGGATCTGGCTGGGCAATTCAAGAACAGTCACAGAGTTGTTGTGAAGCCACTCCTTTGTTATATTAGCTGTGTGCTTAGGGTCATTGTCTTGTTGGAAGGTAAACCTTCGGCCCAGTCTGAGGTCCTTAGCACTCTGGAGAAGGTTTTTGTCCAGGATATCCCTGTACTTGGCTGCATTCATCTTTCCCTCGATTGCAACCAGTCGTCCTGTCCCTGCAGCTGAAAAACACCCCCACAGCATGATGCTGCCACCGCCATGCTTCACTGTGGGGACTGTATTGGACAAGTGATGAGCAGTGCCTGATTGTCTCCACACATACCGCTTAGAATTAAGGCCAAAAAGTTCTATCTTGGTCTCATCAGACCAGAGAATCTTATTTCTCACCATCTCAGAGTCCTTCAGGTGTCTTTTAGCAAACTCCATGCGGGCCGTCATGTGTCTTGCACTGAGGAGAGGCTTCCGACAGGCCACTCTGCCATAAAGCCCTGCCTGGTGGAGGGCTGCAGTGATAGTTGACTTTCTGCAACTTTTTCCCCCCCATCTCCTGACTGCATCTCTGGAGCTCAGCCAAAGTGATCTTTGGGTTCTTCTTTACCTCTCTCACCAAGGCTCTTCTCCCCCGGTAGCTCAGCTTGGCCGGACGGCCAGCTCTAGGAAGGGTTCTGGTCGTCCCAAACATCTTCCATTTAAGGATTATGGAGGCCACTGTGCTCTTGGGAACCTTAAGTACAGCAGAAAATTTTTTTGCAACCTTGGCCAGATCTGTGCCTTGCCACAATTCTGTCTCTGAGCTCTTCAGGCAGTTCCTTTGACCTCATGATTCTCATTTGCTCTGACATGCATTGTGAGCTGTAAGGTCTTATATAGACAGGTGTGTGGCTTTCCTAATCAAGTCCAATCAGTATAATCAAACACAGCTGGACTCGAATGAATGAAGGATGATCAGAAGAAATGGAAAGCACCTGAGTTAAATATATGAGTGTCACAGCAAAGGTTCTGAAACTTAGGACCATGTGATATTTCAGTTTTTCTTTTTTAATAAATCTGCAACAATTTCAAAAATTCTTTTTTTTGCCTGTCAATATGGGGTGCTGTGTGTACATTAATGAGGAAAAAAAATATTTTAAATGATTTTAGCAAATGGCTGCAATATAACAAAGAGTGAAAAATTGAAGGGGGTCTGAATACTTTCCGTACCCACTGTATATGCCCGAATACAGGTATGTTTTTATTAACTGTCAAATTAACTTGACTAATGTAACTTTCAGTATGCTTTAATAACTCTTCATTATGGGAGAATATTAATAGATATTATTCATCTGAGCTTTGATGACACCTTAGACTCCCTCGGGGGTCAGATAATCCCCTCCCCCACACCCCACATAGCAGCTGCGGTGAGCATCTCTGAGAGTCTGCCCTTCTGCAGGAGCAGACAAGCACAGAGCAAGTTTGGGCAGCCTGAGGCACCCCAGTGGCACACAGAAATCCCTGGGGTTCCATCTGCAGAGCTGCGGTACTCAGGTCCGGTCTCAGGTACACATGTGAATGGACTCGTCACACAGGTGAATTTTTGCTTTTTTGTCTTGACGCTTGTGGTTCAAAAAAAACTTTCCAGAGTCCATCCGAGTCCGAAGTGCATGTCTGCATCAGGAATCAAACTAGCAATAGGAATCAAACTTTTTCCCCACCGTGCATGTTAAAGCCATAAAATGCTCACAGCACTTGTGCTTCTCAAAGGAATATGTTTTTGTTATTGAGTCCCATCATAGATATCATACCTGGTGTGTTTCATTGTAGATCTTCCACTGAACATCTTTATGTACAATTTGTGTATTTTTAAGATAATTACAAAAAGTTCAATTAAAAGTTTGCCAAATAAATATCTACCCTCACTTTGCATATTCTTTGGTTCCAGAACTAATTTTAAATGTGTCCAGCAGAATTCAGACATGTTACAATGAAATTAATAATTACAACAGGATGCAGTGGAGGTGTGTTTCTGTTACCACTGTGTTGGGCAAATCGTTTTTTTTTTTTTAGTCAAAAATTTAATTTCCTATTTGGTTGTCATTTTGAATTATTTAAATATAAAGATTTGAGGTATTTGTTTAGTCTTCAATTTATATTGCTTGAATTCAGATTCAGGGTCTAGAACTGAGCTTGTGCAGACTTGGATTCAGCTACCCAGCTCCCGTAATGGACTAAGTCCCGTCTCAGACTCACCCCCCCCGTTGCAGTCAGACTCGATTTGTTAAAGATGTGGTCTTAACTCGGACTTGAGCATAACGATGCTATCTTCTGTGCCAACATGCCAGGTGACAGCAGAACATTCGAAGAACGCAAAATTCAATTTATGGTAAAAACTAAACAAATTCGTTCGCTTCCACCACTGTCTTGGTAGGCAGTCCTCACGTAATTCAGTGGGAAGCTGAGAAGTCACATGACAAGAATCACTCTAATTGTGAGAGATGCTCATGCCAAATGTTTTCCACTGAGAAATGTCTTCTTTGAAGTGTTTTGCGAAATGTCAGGATGAACCATTTCATGCCATTACATGTCTAATTCCAGGACATTGCCCTTGATGCAAAGATAAAAATGAACCATCCTTGGTACCCATTGACATGTGTGAAGTTTCCCCCCCCTTTTCAGTGCTTTTACATGCAGTCACCCAGACATGAAATGCAACAATTTTCAGTTTGACTCCAAAGCCAAATAATTGTAGTTACAATGACTCATTGTTGTGATGAGCGGGATGAAGGATGCGGGAGCTGGAATAAACAAGGTTTTATTAACTAAGAACTGAATAGAAACAAACTGGATCGCATGGGATCAAGCAAGGAGGAAGGGCAAAGGGGAGCCACACTGGAGCGACAACATTAATGTCAGGACTGGGGAACACAGACCTGGGAGGCACCTTTATACAGAGACTAACAAGGGAGCAGATCAAGAGGCAGATGGAATGCATTACACAAGGGCAGGAACAAGAGGATAAACAAATGCATAATACTGTAGGTGTGGCCCATTAGAGGGTTAGATAAGCAGGGCGTGACAGTCATATAGGAGTGTACTTAAAAAGACAAGCCCTGCACAGACGCAGCATTCAGCTCAATAGTGCTCTCCAACTGATGACCATGACTTTCAACGGAACCTGGAAATTGGAGCACAGCGAAAACTTTGACAAACTGATGACACAGATGGGTGAGTCTATTCAATTAATAACGATTTTTATGATTTCTAATTATTTATAAGCATCAGGTGACCGGGTGCATGTTATCAGGATTCTGCGAAGATTTCGCTAATCAAAATCAGAATTATTTTTACACGGCATTGTTCAGATACAGCCGTGTAAAAGCTGCCTCATCACGCTGACCCATGGCTGACAATGATAACCTGACAGTAACGGTTCAGCAGACCAACGACAATTTCTACATAAAGGAGTCCTCCCAGAAGAAGGACCATTCTTTCACTCTGGGAGTCCCGTTTGACCATGAGCTAGCAGGTGGAACAGTGATCAAAGTAAGAAAATAATCTGCTTTTAAAAGGAGATTCTGCTTTTGTAACAGGAACCTAATGAAGACACTAATACCTAATACATGCAATTAGTCCCATAATCTGAGCATTTAAATTGCCTAAAGCTTTCAGGAAAAAAATTAAAAAGCAAATTACAAATTAAACAATATTTCCTAACACAATCCTACTAGTGCTTGGGCCTTATTTAAGAATTTTGGCACACAGGCATCTCAAACATACAGTGTCTAACACAAATGCCACACTCAGCAGTATTCCTGCCATATTTCGACACAACCCTTTCACTGAATGTACCGCTGGTAACTGCCTTTGTTGCCTGAAATTGTCAAACATCACCTTTCTGGCATAAAGGGCACATGGGTCCTTGATGGGAACATACTCAACGGAACCTTCACGGGGAAAGGCGACGGAAAACCGTATCTCGCCAAAAAAGAAGTGACTGGGAACAAACTTGTGCAGGTGAGCGTGTCTTTTCTCATGGTGAGATGTTCCCATGGTGGTCTTCAAGGCTGGAAGGAGGGACAGGAGAGTCATGTGTGCTGAGTCCATAAAAACCAAGATGCAGAGCATGAGTACAAGGATTCCATGTGATCTGAAATATGTCATTAATAAATATTTCTGTTACATGCACAGATTTTACTTCCTTTCTGTGTGATTAAACACTATTGTGTAATATTACATTGTGAAATGTGCACTCACATCTTGTATAAAATTAGTTCCCCATTTCTTGCAAATTAGGGAACAACTTGCTGTTTTTTGTCTTGATTCACTTGGGAAAAAAGTTAATTTCCTCACACAAAGTTGAACACAACCCTAACAACACTGTCTTCCGATAACAAAGCCTTTCCTGTGTTTATTACAGTAGAGAAATGTGACAATCTATGAGCCCACTACTTACAAAACCACGATTTTTCTTTTTTAAATTCTTCTAAAATAGCCACACATACAAAAAGGCATATTTCCTAATAAAAGCTATCATGTAAATGCATTCCTCAGTACACTCAGCATGACTTTGAATAACGACAGCACTTCAGCTGACGGCCCGAAAAAAATGTCTTTCCTGTTCTTTTCCTCAGACTTTCAGCTATGATGGAGTCACTGCAAAGAGAATCTTCAAGAAAGTTTAGGCGTTTTAGGTGGACCATGGCCACACTGCACCAGAAACTGCAGGACTACAGAGCGACTGCCTCATTGATGTGACCATGCACTGCCTTCATCCACGCAGGAGACAGACAAGGGCATCTCCATATCAGCAGCAAAGCTCCTTCCATGTTTTTTATCTCTAAGTGCATTTACATAAAAATGAAAAATAAAGACACTTCTGCCTATATTCATTTGATTTCATTTCAAATATCATGTCTATATACCAGGGCTGTGCAGAGATGTTTGAAGGGGCGGGTGCTCAAAGTTAAAAAGGGGCACATAGAACCAGGCTGAATAACAACAACCCACATTCATCAAGGATCTAATATGGAATCGCATCATACTATATCACTGCCATCGGGTGGGGAAAGCAAACGTAGCCTATGTTTTACCTGATGGGGCACAATGTTGCTGTTGAGGTTGCTGCTGCTCCTGCTGCTGATAGAGCTGGACGGTAGGGCTGTGTTGATCTGAGACTGTAGACATTTAAAAGTCCATAGGAGAGATGGTAGCTGATTAAATAAGTGCTGTGAGATAATAATAAAATGCAAGGATTGGTGACAGCGCTTGGAACCATAAGGCAACAGATTTAAAAAAACTGTGGGAAATAAACTGAAACCGGAATATGAGTAGGGCAAAAAACTTTTTAGTGAAATATAAGCCCTCCAGAAAGGCAGGGAAAAGCCCTGTAACTTACTTTAAAATGAAACATGTTCCCTAAAACGGTGGACAGAGTTACAGACCCATGACACCCTTACCCAGTTAACTAGCAGCTAATGACCACCACTACTTGTGCAGTTAATAGAAGGACAGCTAATGTTTTGTCGTGCTGTTGCACACTGTGCACACACAGCATTCTCATTTGTTTCAATTCGTCTGTTGCCACAAGACAACTTAACAACGTGTACATAATAACCTAATACTCCTGTGTGCTATAGACTATAGTGTACGCTGTACACCCTACTTACTGGTTTTTGTTGCATCAGTCTGCGTCTCCCAGTTATTTTATGTGTTTTCCCTACAGCTCTGCACCACACAGCTGGCAAAAAATGCGCGTATGAAGCGAGGCCAACCGCCTCTCCTTGTGGGGGAAAGTGAAAGTAACCACCTACCTGGGAAAACTGGGTTTTCCCAGGTAGGTGGGGGACCCAAGATCTGAGTCTCCACCCCCAGTACTTTTGGTCACTGTACCTAAGAGTGCAGGTATGTCTGAATCCACTCTACCCTGCAGAATGTCAAGTGAGTATGCAGAAAGATGTGGTGAGCTGGGCTCCAGTTGTCGTCTGATATACGGTGGTGCCTTGAAGTGTAAGCCTGCTGGGCCACTTAGTTAAAAGCCTAACAGTTTTCTCCCATGCTCCCCAAACCTAACAGAATGGATGAGATGCCCCCACTCCCAGGAGGGTGTATTTGGGGTCAGCAAGCATTTAACAGAATCTTATCCCTTGACATCGGCTTTCAGCAGATGACACTTACTGGGATTCAACATCAGACCATGTCGCCTCAGTCGATTGAAGACAAGCTCCAGTCTCTCACAATGGCTATCAAAGTCCTTGGAGAAGACAGTGATGTCATCAAGGTAGATGAGGAGGTGGTCGAAGGCCAAGTCACCAAGCACCATCCCCATCAAGCGTGGGAAGGTGGCAGGAGCATTGCATAACCCAAATGGCATCCTTGTCCACTCAAACAGACCAAAAGGAGTGGTGACTGCTGTCTTATCCCGATCTGCTGTACTCATAGCTACCTGAAAATACCCGGAGGTCAGGTCCAAGGTGGAGAACAGTTGCGCGTTGCCCAATGCATCCAATGAATCCTCCACTCAAGGGAGAGGGTAGGCATCTTTGCAGGTCACCTGATTAAGTCTGCGATAATCACAGCAAAACCTCACACTACTGTCCTTCTTTCTAACGATAACGGTTGGAGAAGCCCAAGGGCTGCGACTCTCCATGAGAATCCCCTGAGAAACCAGGTCTTGTACATGTTTTTTAAACTGCTGAAACACTTGAGGTGGGTCTCGACAGTGCCTCTGCTTAATGGGAAGGGCATCCCCTGTTGGTATACTGTGGGTGACAGCAATGGTGTAGCTATAATCAGAATCATCTTTGGAAAAGATGTCCTGGTGTTTTGCTAACAGGGTCTTTAACTTATCGCACTGCTACTTCGTTAGTCACAAGTAGCCTTTGTGAGTGCGTGAACAGAAAATAAAGCATTGCATAATATCATGTTTAACATCCGATACGGTTACAGGACAAAATCTTCTGTGAGATAATTATGCTGGTTATTAAACTGCAATAAGGAAAGTAATACTTTTAAGAGCACCAAACGAAAACAATTAAAGAGTAGGGGAGACCAAATGGGAGGACCAGGAAGAAGACGCAGTGTGAAATTCTCACCGGTGAAGCAAGCATTGATGGAAGAACAGAGAGGAGGAAGCAAATATGTAAGAATGAGTATCTTACATAAGAATGAAGGCAAGCAAAAGGATAGAGATCCCACAAAGAAAATGTTAAAAACAAATGCTGAGGTTTCTGAGGTTTTGGATGAAAACTTGTGCATTTTCCATATGGAGCCATTTGGCAACTCGAACCCAAATGTAGTGTGGGTAACACTACCCCAAACACACATTTAAAAGTGAGACTTGAGTTAATTTGTAAAAGTAATCTAATAATCCGATATTTTTTTGTCACGTCAAAACTGTACTTATGAAATTTTAAGGGCTATAAACTGGATTATTGAATTTTAGACTGAGGACCTGCAGAAACATGGCAAAAGTGCCTCTGGAGAGCGCGTCTGGCGTTATATGGTGAAGTATAGTGATGGCCGATTCGCGAACAAATCATTCTTTTTTAACTCAGTTTTTTAAGTGAACGGGTTGAACCGATTCGGAAGTCTGAACGAATCGATTTTCAAAATTATTTTAAAACGTTTTTAAAACTGATCTTTGGCTATTCAACATCCTAAAGCATCCCCCACGATTTCGGATTTATTTTTCAAGTTCCGTCTGCGCTTGTCTTATCACTTTTAGGTTTATTCTTATGTTCGTCACTTACATTCGTCACTTTTGCATTCGTAGACTTCCGTCTGGTGCCGAGAACACCCGAACGGCCGAGTACCTGGTCTGTAACTCGCTGACTAGAAAAACCCGAGAGCCTGTTCGATGAACGAATCGAACTTACGGGTTTTCGGACCGATCCCAAGAGCTCTCGCGGCGTTTACTGCGGAAATGCAGTTACGCTGTTAAAAGGAA